CACTGAGGTCCAGTAATACCGAAATCTTTGATGCATCACTGCTCAGATGAATGTCATTTAAAACTTTTACAAGTGCAGTCTCAGTGCTGTGATGTGCTCGAAATCCAAACTGAAAGGCATCAAAAGGAATTGTTTTGCTCCAAGAAGGTGTTAAGTTGCTGAAAAACAACCTTTTCAATGATCTTTCCTAAAAATTGTAGGTTTGATATGGTCCTGTAGTTATTTATTACTGAGGCATCCAGATTAGGCTTTTTTAAGAGAGGTTTAATGACTGCAGTCTTCAGGGCCGTTGGAAAAAGGCCTGACTGAAGAGAACAGTTGGCTATCTGTAGTATATCTGATGCTATGGAGTTAAAAACATCTTTAAAAAAGCTTGTAGGCAGAGTGTCAAGGCAGCAGGTAGTGGACCTAAGGTTTCTAACTATGTCTGTCAAAGTAGCATAATTTAATGGGTGAAAAAGTGCCAAATTAACTGGAGTAGTCTTATGAGGCACAGGTGAAATAGCCACTGTGTTGGAGTTACAGACTGTCTGTTTTATCTTTAAAATCTTGTCTGTGAAAAAAGAAGCAAAGTCATTGCATGCCTTGGTGGATAGCAGTTCAGGAGGGACTGACGCTGATGGGTTTGTCAGTCTGTCAACAACAGTAAATAAAGTCCGTGCATTGTTGTTATTTTTGTTGATAATCTCAGAGAAAAAGGACTGCTTTGATTGTACTTTGATTAAGGTTGCAATGATACGAGATTTTCACAGTACGAAAACCGTCTCTGAAAATATTGCAGTTTCACATTATTACAGAATTTATATTATTATCAGACAGAATGACCCTGAAAGGAATGAAAACAGACTGCTTACTGTTGGTAGAACAAACAATGTATTACTATAATTAAAATGTATTAACCTAGATATATCACAATCTAGTACCAGTAGTCTGTTTAACAGCTTCCTCCCACAGGCTGTTAGGATGCTAAACAGTTAATTCAATGCACCATATACATATTGCACAGCACTGCACATGGTCACTTTAAATGCCAATTGTCACCTTCCTGAAAGTAGTCATTGCTGGTGTGTCATACTGGACTTTTAGTTTGTGATTTATTGTTGGATAGTTAGGGATTTATTATATTTTATTGATGTCTATTTTATGGTATTAGTATTTATTAATTTAGTATTAGAACAACCCACTGCAAACACTTTCGTTTTACCTGCATTACTGTTGTATACCTGATTTGATTTGATATACCTTGACACTGCTATATTGCTGCAGTGCAGTCTTAGTTTTGATGACTAATGGGCATGTCCTATTTCTTCAGCAGCGTTTCTTGACACTCCAGTTGATCAGTAATTTAAGAAATCATTTGAACACTGAATCTTGAAATGATTTGCAGGTTGTATATCTGTATATTGCCCATATCTGACCCCTTAACATTTAAATCCACATCCCTATAATGACATTATGTGTTGAACTATGAGGGAGGCTTACAGAGATATGGTGTCATGAGAGCATGCAACTTGTTAGAATCATATTATTAATATTAAAGGTAATATTATTAAAAGGGAAAAGGAAGTTAGGACAGTCGTTAGTTTGATGTTACATAGGAGTTAAATGCGTTTAACAGTAATGGGGCAGTGACGTGCTCAGCTTCACGTCGCGTGATTCATGGCAGACGTGATAAGATTCAATAACGCCAACTATATGTTGTTATCAGCAACAGTATCTTCACGTATCTTGTATTTTATTACCTATGTACGTGATATTAAACGACAGCACCAGCCTTCCTGTCATGTTTTCAAGGGGGGCAAATTATCTGTCACATGTAACGCACATCTCCCCGCATGTTTCACGCACTTTGAAGCAGCTGTGCGGTTATTTGACATGTTTGTAACCAAGAGAAAACGCATTTAGATCTGTGGTAACCAAACAAGACACGACCGCAGCTAATGTGTGAAAAAGAAGAAGAGCCAACGACAGCTTCACCGGATCGTATGTGCCTTTGAACATACGTGACATAACCAGATACGAAGACGTGTGTGTCATGACTTGTAACGTTACACACACAAGTGTGCCAAGACGAGCTGGTAAACATTTGACTTAGCAAAACAAGAGCTAGCGGCTGGTACAGGCCCGTCTGGAGCACTTTACTTGCAGCGCGGGAGCTCAGCTAGCACGCAGGTGGCAAATCTCCAACCGCTGCACAACTAAAAGAGAAAAACAACAAACAGCGGGTGTTTACCTGTGATGCAGGCGTTGACTGCCGTCGGCTTCTGGGCTGTCACCACGTAGTTGTACGACATTTTTGACAACAACAAAAGACAAACAACAACGTAGTGTTTTAATCTCACACAAGTGACAAAATCATTGATAATAAAATTTCCGGAAGTAGTTAGCTGAGCCGTTTAGGATCGCGAGGTAACGGCAGCGGAGAAGTGGTGACTCTGAGTGAGAGCGCCCCCTCGTGTCGCGGAGGCCTTATAGTCTCAATAGTTACAGTGGTGGAGAGGAAAATTACTGCACTTAACCCTTTGAATCCTGGAGCGACGTCTCTTTGCTTGTGCTGCTTTCAGTCACCTTTCACAAGTATTTAAACCTTTGATACCTGAGCAAATTGGTTTGATTTCTGTACAAAATTCTGCAAATTACAAGGAATGACTAAAAAGTGACAAGAAAATTACCTGAAAATTAACTTAAAGACTGAGACGGAAAGAGAGAATTATTAGACAATTATATATATAAAAAAAAAGCAAGGGAAAAATGCCCACAAAATTATATTTAGAATTATCATAATTATGTATTTATAATTATTATAATTATACATTTAAAATTAGGTAATGGAATATATATACATTTATATACACTGTATGTTTGTTATTATTATTTTTTATTATTTTATTTAATTTATTATTAAATATTAATATTATTATTTCTTATTATTTTTTTATTTTGGCTCCTTTTAAAAATGATTCCCTGTTTTCATTGTTTTAATTTTCTTTTATGTGATCATTCACCTTTTTGGTAACTTCTCACTTATACAGTATCATGCTGATATTTCGGTCATTTCTCATTAAGTTGCTCATTGCCTCCGTTCCATGTTTTTGAAAGAAACTGTGGTACTTCTTATCTTTTAGTGTTTCTGTTTCTTGCAACTTTATCCTTCTCCTCCACTACTACTCAGAGAGAAATACTGTACTCCACTAAATTCAGCAGTGAAGTACTCACACAGTTTACTTAGGTAAAAGTAGCAAAACTGCAAAATGCACTTTAGTTCTTGTTGCACAGAATAGTAAATATAATAGAGTTATATCAAAAGTCATATTATGAATAAACGACTCTATATACTGTTTAATATATAGCACAGTGTCATATTCATATACATTTTTCATGTATTTTGTTTATAACATTTCAGTCTGTATTAATTTTTATTCTGTTTTATTTAATCCTATTTTATTTTTATTTTATTTGCACAGACATGCATAAAATCCAAATAGTAAAAAAAAAAAAGAAAGAAAGAAAGATATGTGTCAGGAGAGGTCAAGAAGCCACAGGCTTATACAAACATACCTCCCCTCAATTTAAGGAGAAAAACAGACTAAAAAGGGAGACAAATAACTAAACTAACATTATACAGAAAAATTCAACAAAAGATAAATGACAGCAGGAAGCACTCTGAGCAGTCAGTGAAAAATAACCCAATAAAAACCAAGACACACAGAGTGCAGAGAAAATAATTATATATATTATATACAAGTCAAGAAATAATCAGCCAGCAAGAATTAAATGTAATGATAATTTCCTTTTAAAATGTTCAAAGGATAAAGAGCTATTGACAACATGTACACTGGTGTTCCAAATCTGTACACTACAATATCTGAGGTGGAGCTGATTGACCTGTCTGGGATTATATGAATATATATGGGAATTAAATTTGAAGAAATTGCTAACGATGATGGTAGAGAGCAAGGTAAGGACATATATTTATGTATATAGTAAACACACATATCATCACTCTACTGAGAGTAGTGGTATAGAAGAATAAGTAGCATAAAGCATAAATAAAATTTTGAATGGAGGACTTTGGCTCGTAACAGAGTAGCCTATTCATGCACTGATGTATTGATACCTTTACCTAAGAATAATATCTGTGTCACCTCAGTTGAAATAACCAAATGTGCTCTAATTTTGGGATGAAGGTTTGCCTGTATATGCACTGCAGGACCCATGACTCATAGTAAGAAACTGACTGAGGAAAAAAGGGCGTCAGAGCTTTGAGAAACACTGGTCCCTATTTAGGAATGACACAACAGGCTACTGTGAACTGCTGCACCTCCAGCAAGGTCTGCTTTGAGAGCAGTGACCTCTGCTGCTCCACCAACTCTACTACAGAGCCAGACAGCTAGATTTCCCCCTTCTTTATTGAGAACTTGATAAGTACAAAGAAACAAGCCACACTCTCATGTCTTATCAGCAAATAACTTCTGTCTCAGGTTGAACAAGAACAAAATTAGAAACAAATGGTAGAAAGAAAACATAATAAAATACAAAACTAAATTGTAAATAAAAAATAAAACAGTGCTAAAGAGAAACATCACCTATATTAAGAATTCCAATATGTTATTTTCATGGCCTGGGAAATTTTGATTGATATTTCTTAACATGAGCCACTCAGCGCTGAACATGACATGTATAGATTTTGAAAATGGGCATTTTTCCTCTCTTACAATATCTATTAATAGCTCGGTATCTAATTTCCCTTAATACAATGACAGTAGCAAAAACAAACAAAAACAAAAAATAATGTAACAAGAATGTAACAATAGAAGCAAAAATAATGTATAATGTTATTTTTGTTGTTGTTGTTGTTGTTTTACTCTATTCAGGGGAGTCTGGTGTGTTTTTATTGTTTATTTATTTATTTTTTTTTATCTTTTTTTCGTTTATGAAAAACCCTTTGTAAATTACGTCAGAGTTGAAGTCATCTATCGCTGCTGTGTGTGTCAAACCTCTGGTATTTCAAATTGTAAGTGAACGCACCACCATGTGCAGTGTCGTTGCCGTGGAAACGGGACTGTATCCAACGTATATAGAAACAAGGCTCGTGATAGTTAGCAAACATTAACGTTAATCTAACTTTACATAATGGAGACGCCTGAAAACGTCGCAGAAACAGATTATAAAATTATAAATATAACCGTCACCCGCGCTAATAACCTGGTAAGCTCCTTCAACGTTACTTAAAGTGTAATGAAAGTGACGAACTTCACCGTATGCTTATGAGCTAACGTTAACTAACTTAGCTTAAGCTTAACTTAAACTACGTAGTAAGCTAACCAACGGCTAACTTAGCTTAGCATAACTGACTAACGTTCAAACTACTGTCTGAAGCAACGGTCAGGAGGGCGAGTACAGACTGTGTTGGTTAGTCAACCACACAGTTTCAGTTGCCTTTATCTCCTGGTTCAGTTTTGAGCAGAAGAGCTTGACTTATTTTTTTCTTTTAACTAATTATTTATTGATTAAAAGACAATTAGCACAGTCCAATTAAGACCAACATACCAATAGTCAGACAATACAACTTAACGTTACACTGTCCATAAATGACAGATAAAAGGGAAATATTAAAAAAGGAAGGAAAAGGAATAAGAAATAAATAAATGAAGAAATAGTAATAATGTTTCCAGTTTCTTCAGGGATAACTCTTAGTGAAGCAAACAATGACTCTTGGGGCATCTGTAATGGAGATCAATGTAAATTTCATCCCAGAATGGCTTCAGTTTGTTACATAGATACAATTAGATTAATGGCGGGGTTTCAGGTGTTTCATTTCCCCTTGTTTACAACTTAGCATTCATCTTATTAAAACAGTCATCATCAGCTTGGGGAAAAGCATTCGCAAACTTAGTAAATGTGAAGTGATGCATTCAAGATTTTACTCTGTAACATGTAAAGCACCAGTCTCAAATTTGCAAAATGTTAGGGTAAACTTACGTGTGTTCACCCAGATCACCTTCCTCCATATTTTTCTTCAAAGCAGTTTTTTTTTTCATTTAGTGGCAAACACCATGCAATTTTCAACTTTATGTCACTCTGGGATCAAACCAGACAACTGATCAAAGAGCCTCCTCTGCTCAGCTACAGGTCCTGTGAGTGTTTGGCACACTCATGGGAAATGCTTTTGACATTATTTCAAGCACATGTTACATAAACTGGATTGGTTTTACTAACTTCAATATGATTGAAACTTTATTGTGTAGTTTAATATAAACTGGACTGGAATTTAAATGTCTTGGGCAAACAGAACAACGTTAGAAGACTAGCTAGGGTAAGAATCTGTGTGGATGACAGTATCCACCTGATGCTACATATTCTGTTTCCTCTTCTTTTCAGCAAGGAAATAAGGCAGATGGCTTCCAGAGCTTTCTACAGGTTGAATTGGATGGAAATGTGCTGGGAGAGTCGGACAAGAAGCAGGTCAATCCAGTGGAGCAGTGTGTTGACTATGACTTTACCTGCAGCTTCCACTGCCCCAATAACAATCAGGCTTTCAGTGACATAGCCCATAAACCCGTCATATGTAAGTTGAGTTTGTTGATATCTGACACTGATGTCGGTCTGTTTCTTCTTTCAACTTTCGTCAATTCTTGTTGCTGCTGTTACTCTCTGCATGTTGACCAGCAGCATCTCTTTGACGCCCACACTTTGCTGGTTATGTCTACATGATACCGCAACTGAAAATGTCACACATTCTAAAAAAACAAAACACCTTCATCATGGGCATAGGCTTTAACACATGCTGATGCTTTAGAAATTATAATGCTGATATATGTTATTTTAAAACCTGTTCCAGCCAGCAGTTTGTGCGCTCATATTTTGAGCAGTCCTACTAGTTTTATTAACCTGACAGTTGTGCCCTAAATTCAAACCTCGTAAACTTAAATGAGTGCTTACATTAAGTGTAGTCACTCAATATTTACCACCAGTAGATGCAACTCCAGCTACAGTAAAATCCCAATATGTGGTCTTATTGTGAGTTCATTGTCACATTAGCTAACTATTTTAATTTATTGTTGCTGTTACGTTTCACTTAATTGTGGGGAAAAACCCTTCAACCTTTAAAATCACCAGATTTTTTTCTGCAATTTTGTTGTCAACCGATGGCGACATTGACGACAGAATAATTGGTAGGTTTGTCAACCATGCAGGACCTATTCTATGCAGATATGCTGCCTTGACACAGCAGTCCCCTAAACCAATCCCAAAATAGTTGAGCATATCAACAAGTAAACTGCAGCTTAGACTGAAACAGTTACCACTAATTATTGCAATAACACTGGTAGTAATCTTCTCACTGGTAAACAAACGCAGAGTAAGGCCTGGCCTCTATTACGGCTCTCAGTTTTCACAGCATAGTTTCTTGGTTTTGTTGTTTTGATCAGTAACAGTGAGAGAGTTCCTGCCTGAGAAGACGAGGACATCGGTGCCAGCGAAGACACCTGTGCTGGGCCAGGCTGTGATTGACCTGCTGCCTCTGCTGCAAGGTACAGCTGTACCTGTTAGAAGTGATGTGTTGTTACTGTAATAAAACAAACCGGTGTATGTCTGTGTCTATATGTACCTAATGCCAGTTTCTTCATGTGGAGGTCTGATCAAAGTGCCTTCAAAGAGTTTTTCTTACAGGACAACTTGTTGACTGTTGGAGTGATTCTCTCTTCTGTTTCAGGTCAGTGCAGCTTCTCGTCCTCAGTTCCACTGAATGCAGCGACCAGCTCTTCAGCCAAAGAGTCCCCCCCAGACCTCTGCAGCCAGGTCAGATGGTTACTGACCACTTATTATTAGGGGCAGGGTCATGGCTACATTAGATAACAGAAACGTTTATTCCAGATTAATATTTTTTTTGTTTTTGCAAAGTTCTGCCTTAAAAATTTGTATACTTATTATGTGTATCTTGCCTGAAAGGTATTTTAACTATACCTGTAATCAAGCCTGGATTAGCAAGCAGACTAAAGGCCAAAACACACCGGCTGCAAACACAGCGCATCAAAAAATAAGACTCCATTATTTTCAATGAACAACCCTACACCGGCGGCGGCTAGACACGTGTTGGTGCTCCTGGAAGCACCATCCTGCAGCACTTCACGCCACTGTTTCCAGCCTCATTGCCCCTGGAATTAAATGTATTTTTCCCCCACTCGCTCTCTGCTTGTACATACCAGCTCCCACAGCGGCTCGAACTCTGTAGCTGTTGCTGTGTCTCGTGTGTGGCAAAGAATGGATGAGGAGAGACCCATTGTTGAGGTTGAGAAATATTCTGAGCTAAACGACCCACAATCCCATCGTTATAAAGACAATGGCCAAGAACATGTTGCCTGGCTTGTCATAGCTCTGGAGATTGGCTCCTCAGGTGAAAAATCAAGTTTAATTAGGGGCTGTCCACACATGACTTTAAGCTAATGCAGAGGTGGAGGATGTACAGATCTTCCAATAAAAGTAGTAATAACTTTGTTTTTTCATCTGTTGATGTGCTGCAGCGCGATGTGTCCAGTGTGTATTGGGGTGGCACCTGACGTGCTTCACATGAGGCACCAGTGTGTTTTCAGCTTAACTGGGCAACTGCCCTGGTGGCTTCGATCCTCCAAAGGCCCCAAAAACCCCAAACTCTCATTGTGTCAGTTGTTTGTTTTTTTTGTTTTTTTGGTAATTTGATTAATTGTATATTTGTTAATAAGTTTGGAGCACTGACTACAACAGAAACACAATATCAACTGAGGCAGACTCTGCAGTATTAGCTTATTTGTAGCCTTGTCATGCAGAGAGGCTGGTCTGATACAAAGGTGAAAATATGGGTTATGACAATATTTAGAGTGATACAATAGAGATTTGTCAATCTGTGGACATTTTGGTATAATTCATCCAGAATTTGAAGGCAGGAGTTGAGGCCAGACAGGAGCAGTTGGCAGCCCAAGGCATTTTCAAGTGGAAGAGGAAGGTAATCCCACAGCCAGTTTTTAGGCCAAATAAGAAAATTCCCAACCAGTGTTTGGCAACCAGCACTTTGAACCTCAGGAAGGAAAACTGAGACACATCACAGCCATTAACTCACTAATACTATGATGTAAAAGTTTATAAATAAAACATGAATGTGCTTCACGATTTTACCCCTTTAGAGGTCGACACTGGATGTGTGTGTCAGTATGTCGGAGCCAATACTGTCTGAGGCTGAACTTTCAGCCTCCAATCTGCTGAAGGTAACCATGGAGACAGCCTACTCCATCCCTGAGTCATGGGTTCTGCAATCTGGCCCTGCCACTACTCCCTGCTCATACACTGCTGCCCTGGAGGTCCCCCTTAGTGCAGAGGTGAGTGTTACTCTGTGCTTTTTATGTAGCTTATTTAAGATACATAATTTATGTACATATAAATGGGTCATTTGGAAACACAACCATTTATTTTTTCACGTGATTGTAGACTAGTGAAAACATACCTACTGTATTATATTCCATTTCTGCCAGTATATCCCCCTAAATCCTACACACTGGACCTTTAAATCAAAATGAAACATGGAAAAAAAACATGCTACCCTGTTCAGACTAACATCAAATCTGGATTTAACCAGGGTGAAGGATTTTAACAGTGTGGCTGTATGATTCCTCTGACCCCTAGAAAGATCAGGTGCTGGTGTTCTGTGAGGGGCACCTGAAGGCGGGGGGGCAGAGGGAGAAAAAGGGCCGACAGAGGAAGAGGCCCCATCAGGCCCTGCTGGTCACAGGGAACCACTTCCTACCTGATACTTCTTTTCAGGCAGAGCCCATCGAACAGGAGGATGGCCAGCTGACTGGCTTAGAGGTAACTGCAACTGTGGCCTGCACTTGCTGCGAAATGCCTGGGTGCACTGATAGATGTCATATTAATGCCTTTCATTTGATAGACATGACCAGATTTAAAGGGGAACACCATATAACTTAAGATTTCCAGTATATTCTATCCACGGCAGAGGAAAGTTCAATCAATAATCGTGAACATGTTCTCCTCTCTCTCAAAGACAGAAACCAGAGTCCAAAACCAAATTCTAGAGTATAAAGTAGGGGTGATGACAATTAATCGATTAATCGTTTGTTTAGAATTTGATCAAACAAATAAAATTTGATTGATCAATTGATAGGCTATAAAGTGCTGTCAGAGTATATGTAAAATGTTGTTGTGAGCTCTGATTAAGTAAAAAATGTAGAAGCAAAGTTTTCACGTTTCTTTAAAAATCAAAATGAAGCAATTAATCAGTCGTTAATTTTACCAATAATTGATAAAGGAAAGTGCTTACAACTCCTATAAACCCCTTGCATAAAGTCTGAAGCTGCTTCATAGGCAGTGAATGGGAGCCTGATATTGTTGACCGAATGAATGTTTTTAGCGCTCTAGTTTTTGGATTTGGTAGAGAATGGTTCATGTTTACTTAAATTATTGGTCAGTCTTTGATCATAAAAATAGCGTATGAATTTTGAAATTGTTATTACAGGACCGGAAGTTTCGTACTGAAGCAGAGATCACAAAGCATAGGGTGAGCTGGGACACAGAGATGCGCTGCTTCCTGGATGCAGGAGGAACTACAAGGTCAGCTACGTGCACAGCTCACTCCTCCTCCTGTCTGACCATCATGCTACCTGTAGGCCAAAAGGGACAGTCTTATGTTTCTTGTCACGATGTCTGTATTTTTTTTTTTTACAAAATAAATTTCAGGATTATAACAGTGTATTTGAAAACTTGGTTCCCTCATTCAATAAATTTCAGGCCAAAAGATCAGGAAATCATTGAGAAATAATTCAGGGCCATGCAAAGTAAACAAGTTAACAGGTTTAATGCTTTGAATAAATGTCAAATCCCTATGAAGAAAACTGCTTGGGAAATATTGTAGCAAAACCAAAAAAGAGAAAATAATATATTAGGTCAACATCAGAATGTATATGATGTGAACTAAGGCATTGGATGGGTAAATACCAAGTAGAGATTGCAGAAAGAGAGATACAGATACAGATGCAGAAAAAGATGTGAAAATATGTCTATCAGTGTTGACTGCAATTTCAGGCTGCGGCAGAAGATCACTGAGAGCAGACTGTGGCCAGTGGAGATAATGAGGTCGTCGGCTGTGCTCACTAAGGCAGCAGAAACCAAGCTGGTGAGCCGACTTTGTTATCAAAGAATAGGATCAGAAATATGCCCCGTGACCACCAAACACTTTCAGTATGGTACCTTTGGAACCAAAAGTAGCCCTTCAGACATGGTACCTAGACCCTAGCGTTTCCACCGCAAACAGTACCCTTAAATGTGAGCAGGGTTGTTGTCACTCACTGCTCCGTCCAACACTTACTGTATTTCCTTATTACAAGTGACACAGATGGAAATCTGCACCCTGTCTTTTGTTCACAGAACGAGGCTGCACGTCGACATTTTCAGAACAAAACAGAACAGGCTGCAGTGAGAGTCTCTCTCCATGGGATATTTAAAAATAGCGGCTTTGTGCATTTAGTCCTTCTCAGGCAAGCTCAGGGGTTTAGTGTTGACGTAGCCCACAGGAACGCTGCTCTGCAACGTTTTTTTTTTTTCTCTGAGTAAGGATTAGAATATATGCGGAATATATGGATGACGATCCACTCATTACTTTAAGTGTCTGTCATATAGAAACTTAAGCAATCGTCAAAGTTGTCACAGTGAAATTTAAGGTGTGCTGATGGATTCAAGTCATCAACTCATGCATTGAGTAACATTACAAGTTAACGGTCCACCTAAAAAATCATCGACAGCCCAGTGAATTAAGTTATTTTTTACTACAGCTGGTGTGAGAGGCAGCGAAACATCCTTTCATTTTATAGTTACAGTTTACTAATAAAACTCTCCACGGTATGAACAGTGGTTACATGAGCCTCAAAACCAGCCACAACTCTGAGCAGAGTGACCGTACTCTATTGACCAATCAGACTGCAGTGTTCACAGCTCCACCTTTTAGTACTAGATCTGTGTGCTAGGTACCCCAACAGAGGGGGGACCAAAAGTGGGGATGATATGGAACAGTTCCATTGGTACCATCCACAACTTTTCACAGTGCCGTACCGTACTGCCTGCTGGAAACGGGGGCTATATTATAATGTATTGACCCTTCGGCATTAGCCCTCTAGTCTGAACCAAATGTAAGAAATGAAGGACAACATGCACAATCATTTCAGGCAAAACTGCATTTTAGTTTAATCAAAGCTGATGTTGATGTGTGATGTGCTAATAGGGTCTCTAGTGGATAGTTTAAATGAAACATTTTGAGGGTCTATACCATGATTCCTGTTTTAAAAGCTTAAGCAAAGTTCAGTGACAGATAAGCAAATTCATCCAGTCAAACTGTGTGTGTGTGTGTGTGTGTAGCCCGCTGACAAGAACCCAGAGATCCCCTTCCATGGCGTGGCGTTTGTGGACATGGGTCGGCTGCTGTATCCTGGAGTCAGCCGCATCCGAGGAGCATACAGCATTCAGCCCTTCTCTGAGGCTGAGTTACTAAACAAGGTCACACAGATACACACATATAACTTATTTGCTTTAATTTTTGTTGATGTATTCATCATATAATGTCTAGTAGAAATGATCTGTTCAAATAGAATTCCATTAACACTTTCTAGCTTTCTTAACCAGAGCCAGTGTGGACAGAGAGAGACACTTGCTGTTAGGACACGGTATTAGGCCAACATATGACCGGAAAGATTTAAATATGTCTTGACTTAAACAGATTTTCCTGGTCAAAAGCCAGATAACGGGAAGCCTGAGCACAGCAGCTCTGGTGATGAAGCTGCTTGTTGTGTGAGAGTGACAGAGAGAGGGGAAGAGAAGGTGGAAGTTAAATTATTGCACAAGGTTTCTATACGTTATAATAATTCACTCAGAATGCTGCTTTGTCACTTTATGACCCGCCTGAAGCCTGTGATATTTTTTAACAAGCTTACCCAAACCGCCCGACCCACGCATCACTACTGCACAATCCTGCTGTGTCATGCGTTATACATGAATTAAATAAAGACTTGACTCAATATAATCTACTGAATAATATAATAACACTGTTCCCATTGGGTGTGCACTGTAAAGCCTCTATTAAAGTGAGATTGTCTCTGATCATGTACTTAAAGGCCAAGCGGAGTGTCAGTGTGTTAAAGGAGCAGGCCAAGACTGCAGCCAAACAGGTCAAAGTTCGTGCTGGCTCAGCTACAGGCTCTCACAAGGGGAAGGCAGGGAAGAACATGGATGGAAGGGGAACGAAGGAATCCAAGGAGGCAGCCAAAAAGGTCAGCAAGGTTGTGATGGTCAGCTGAGATTCATTTTTACATCAAAGTTTAATTAAGATCACTTCCAAGGGCTTGGAAAATCATATAAGACAAAAACAAGTCCTTGAAAGGCTTTGAAACCTTTCTAACAAGCAAAACCAGCAATTGATTCTATACTTCTAAAGTCTCTACATTTTGTATTTGTTGTGAATATGGGGATTGGAGTCAATTGTACGCTGTTTTTATTATGACAGCAACCTGGCAGTCAGAGCAGGCTGTCTGTAGCCGACAGCGTGGCCGATGCCCTGGCTGAAACTGAGCCGCACCTCAGTACGGAGCAAAATGTAAGCTTCCACTACACAGCAACACAACTCTGCAATCACAAACACAGTAGGCCTCATTTACTGGAAGCTATGGTTGTAGTTACAGTTTAATACAGACACAGTGAGCGCAGCAGCAACATTTTAACTGTCCCACTATCGAAGCTAGTTGGTAAAGGAGATCGTGGTTTTACGGTGGCTGCTCCAGAACTCAGGAATAGCCTCACACTTGTAATCAAATGTTCTCGCTCCACTGACACTTAAGACATAGGCCTACATGTTTTCAATGGCCTTTGGTTGCTCTTAGTGGTTTTAATATTTTAGTATTTTGTAACTTTCTATGTACGTAATCAAGATTTCCAGTTTTATTTGGTTGATGTTACTTTCTAATTTCGACTGCCATTTATTGTTGTTATTGTTATTTCAATTTTAACTTCAATTTTGGTCGACTGCGGTTGTTTTTAAACATGCTGCATTGATAAAATTTATTTTATTTGATTTGATAAGCTTGAACTGCTACTATACATCCTACTGTAAACCTATATCCAGTTTACATGCCTGTTGTTTGTAAAGCCTTCAGCATATTAACCCCTCATTCCTGTTAATGGCAGACATATGTGGAGGCCAGAACCTATATTATCATTGAGATAGCCTTGGAGAAACCGCTGGTACCCAAAACATCTCCAGAGGAGCTGGCCAGAAGGTAACGTGCAGACCCAGACAGAATCTCCATAATTTTTTTAAACAGTTTTCAGTGGTGATCCAGAACGAAAACCTGCAGAATTTAGTGGAATGTTTTTTTGCTTGTAATGTGAAAGATAATATTCATTTAAGATATGCTAATTGTCTTTTTTATTTGTGGAAAATCTGTGGATGTTCATTCTGCTGTTCTCTGCTACTTGTCAGGAAATGAAAAGTAGTAGTTGTCATGTTACAGCCTTGTTATAGTTTAATTTGTCTGCCCTCATTTTCAAAAATTGCTCTTTTTCCGGTTATTGTGTCGACGTTAGAAATACCAGGGTAGTGACAGCACAACTGTGGGTGCTGATTCTGTGTGGGCCTGTTATGTGGTATATGTGGTATATTCTGTGAGCACTAAGTTGTACCTGGGTGTATTGATTTCACTGTCTCTCTAGATTGGGGACATTTGGTCATTGCCCCTTGGTTTTCTGACTGACTGTGGAGCACAAATGAGTGTGAATGTACTGAGATGTGTCTCTATTTCCTGCAGGGTGAAGGCACTGATCCTTCCCAGGTGTCCACATCCAGCAGGTCCTAGCAGAGCAGAAAGTGTAAAACAGATATATATATATACATAAATGGACCCACAGATACACACACACAACACACATCAGTGGATTGTTGCTCACTTGCTGAATTCTCTCCTTCAGGCGGTGCTGGAATACCACAGGCAGATAGGCAACACAGTGGCCCTAATTTCAGACCAATATAAGGAATTGTTTGGAGCAGGAGCCAAGGCGTCTGAAGACTGCAGCCGGGAGCAGATGAAGACTGAGCTAATGGGAGCACTTAATGTCTCTGGGAAATACTTCACCTTCAAGGAACAGATAAAGGTCAGAACAACTGCACAAATCCCTGGTGGATGGATAAAACTTGCAGGAACCCTGAAGGAGTTTTTTGGAGTAGATCTGCAGCAAGTGACAACCTCCGGGGGCCGAAAAATAAGGCCAATATGGAATTTCCAAAAACTGAGTCTATAGCCCCTTTTACACTGTCTCTTCTACCTCATGGTTCTGTATGAAGAGGGACAGAGGAAGTAACAACACCAAAATGACGTCTTTGTAAAAGGGACAGTCGGCAGGATGGGTCTATGGACGGGGAAGGTGTGTTGTTTTGACGACGTGTTATGCGTGTGACCCACCTCCAGGAAATTTTTAAAGTAGCTACTAGCAGTTAGCAGCTAACTCAAAGACAGAAAACAGTGGCTCCAAGATGGCAATGGTCAAAATGTCAAACTTCAGGCTTCATAACAGGAGTCCACAAACCGATGGGTGACATCACAGTAGCTAAATCCATTGTTTTATACACTCTATGATCTGTAACCTGTTAGGTGTTTTTTGTACTGGTGGTGGCTTTTCTGTTGTTATTTGACCGCATAAATATGTGTGTTCCTGGTGTGTAGCATGCAGTGGCAGGGATCGTACGTGACAAGATGCAGCGGACAGAGCCATTCACTGACCCTCAGGAGCATAGGGCATTTATCAGCAAGCTCTATGTCTACCTGGTGGACGAGATGCGCTTAGCTCTCAACAAGGTAACACACACACATACTTAGCATGTGTGATATATTCTGTATTTATGTTAATTTTTATCATCACCAGGTTTATTCAGATGACGTTGACGATGACTCCGCAGACGAGATCCAGTTGAGTTCTTCTCAGCTCCGAAATTTTGCCAGAGAGGCTCAGCTTACTGGGGATTATCAGCAGGCTGTTCAGTACTACCAAGAGGTGCGTCACCATGCTTCTGCTCTTCACCCAAAATAAATGAGGAAAAGAACAGAGCAGGGTTGATTTCTGTTTATCCACTCTTTTCAGACCTATAAATCAAGATGCATGCCTAAAACTGATTTAGTCATCAGTTATTGATTTGTCGACATAAAGACATCTTGATGTACTTCTTCTTCATCTGTACCTCTGTTGTTCTGTTATTCTCAGAGCATATCAGTGTTTATTGTATCAGGTGGCTACAAATCATGTTACAGCAGTGCTTAATGATCTTTATGCAGACAATGACACCGGCTGGTTAAATTTTTCATTGTGAATTTGTTTTCGTGCAGCTGGTGGTGAGGCACCCCAATGAGCCCTCCCACAAGTTTGAGTGGGGAAGCCTCTACATGCGAACTGGAGACTACACGAAGGCTCATGAGTGTTTCCGTGATGCTGTGTCTGTCCAGCAGGCACACCTACCCAGGTTAGAAATGCTTAAAATATCTGTAGAATATTAAACTAAGAGCAAATTATTGGTTTTCAAGAGAGGAGAAACAGAGGCCTGTACTACGAAGCCAGTTCAACTTACCCAGGATATCGGCTCATTACCTGGTTTGACTAACCTGTCACGTTGGCCATCTGGATAACCAATACTACAAAGCTGGTTATCATCCAGCTCAGTCAACTCTGAGTTTTCCTATCTAGCCATGAGCGCAGGGGTATTAATTATGAGTGACATCATCAGAACCATGAATGAAGTAGGCTGCTTCATATCATATGAGATGAAACGGTACCAAAAGTGTCTGCGACTGCGAGACAGCAACATGTCAGTGGCGTGGGATGGAAACGATTGCCCTGTCTCACAAAGCCTAATCATACCTTCAGTCTCTTATCTTGTCGTTGACATGTAAACATTACCTATGTCTCCCATTCCTCTTGACATTGCTCCTCTTGAGCTCTTATCCTATGAGTTAACAATTCTGTATCAAATATTTCGTTCACAATTTTCAGCCATTCATCTTGTGTTGGTGGTTCTGCTTTGTACCATCTTCTCGACACAGTTCCTCCTGTTACATTGCAAAGTACAATACCATGCATGATCTAGGTTTGTCATAGCCCAGAATTTTGATAATGACCATATGAACATTAACCCGAAATGAAATTTCAGTCAATTAATTTGACGTCAGCAACAAAAACACATGAACCGGGAAGTTAACCTTGAGTGTCTGTATCCACTTGTTTAGCCTGATGATGTGTGGGGTCTTGGCGGCAATGTTTGAGCAACATAAGGAGGCCCAGACCTTCCTGGAGAGAGCCATCAGCTTAGACCCGGCCAGTGTGGTGGCCTGGACACTGCTGGGTGAGATAAGTTTGTATTTCTATTCACTGCTGCCAACACAACACATAAGACTGCTAATACTGACACTCTTTTGTCATTAACAGCCAGTCAGTGATGTCTATCCCTCAACAGATAGGAGATATGTTGAAACTTTACTTTTCTATACATTTCAACAAAGCTGTGGTTAATGTGTGGATAGGTTTAGGCATAAAAACACTTAGTTATGGTTAGGAAAAGATTGAGTTAAGGCTTAAAATACCTGGTTTGGGGGCCCAATCCTAGAAGACAAATGTGATGTCTCATTAAAAAAAACCCCACTCTTCATGGCACTTTCTCCGTTGGCAAATCGGGTCACAATAACAACCGGTTTTGTTGTTTGTTGGTGTTGAAGAGTGGACTACAGCTTTGCAGGTGTGTGGCCTAGGTGTCACACCATACACCTTTCCCTCATCCTCCTCCCGATTACGCTGTCAACTCATATACTACATCACTTTAGAAGGATTGATATGATAGGTATGAAACATGCAAATGTAACGTGTTCATGGATTTCAGAAAACATACATACAATGCCAGCATTGTCTTCTGGCGACTTTTACAAGCTGGTAACTTTAAATTTATAAGTCAGGTTTCAGTACAGAGTTTTGTTTTTTTTTTAAATGCTGTTTCAGAGGCTTTTTGTGAAGATAAAAGAGGAAAATCGAAAGAAAATACCTCAGAATAAAAATACACAATAATGGTAAATATCAAAGAAACAAAGAAATCAGCACATGTTTAAACACTAAGAAACTTTGTTTGAAAAATATTCATACCACCTGACCCAAAATAACCCAAAGCAGTAAACAGAAGAGATGCATGCTTGGAATTGTATAGTTTCATTTCATGTCTCTGAGTCTGCTGTCCAGGTTTGCTCCATGAGAGCCAGAGCGAATCCATCCTGGCTGAGAGGGCTTTCCTGGAGGCCAGAAGGCAGCTGAGGGCAAAGGAAGCAAAGAAGCAAACACAGGGGGAGGAGGAGAAGATGAAGAGGGAGAATGGCAAGGAGGAGAAAAATAAGCAGGAGAAAGAGCAGCAAGAAAAGGAAGTGATGGCCACGGCAACACGTCAGTCTCCCACTGTTAAACAAGGTGAGCTGAAGTAAACTGTGTCTTCATCTGACTGCAGTGATGTGTTAGTTTTCTCTTAATGCCATCCATGGAGAGAAAAGCTGAATTGCTAGAGCTGACTCTGGTGTTATGTCTGTGCCTGTGGTGACTGAGAAAGGGTATTTTGGGGTTTGGCTTGTACCTGAAGTGTTTCTGGTTCCAGTTCTCCTACGTTCTAATGAATCTGTAATATTGAAACTCTGCTCATATCTTTAATACATCAGGTAAATGATGAAGCACACTGAGATCTGTTAACAGTCACATCCAAAACATTTTTCAAACTGATAGTAATTTTTATTTGTCCATTTCTACAAGGACAAAAAACCTAAAATCCAGATAAAAATATGCATATACAACATAGTCTGTAGGTAATACCTGCTTATACACTGTTTAGATGCACTCTGGCAACAATCACCAAAAAATAAGACTTGTCTCATCTCCCCTGTCTATCATACACTCTCACTGCACTTCAATCTGAAGACCTGTGGCTTTGAGTATGTTTTCCCAGAGCAGCCAGTGCTGCCTAACTATGTTAACCCCATTGTCTTTCAGACCCAGAGTATGGAGCCCAGGACTCAGAGATGCAAAGAGAGCCCCCAGTGCCCAGTGTTCACTCCAGATCAGCTACATGTAAACTCTCCTCCACCATTTTCACAGAGACGGTTCAGTTCCTGCTGCAGAACGTTGCACTGCAGGTAAAAACACAGAGTGTCTGGTGGTTTGGCCATCTGAGCAGCCAGCTGGACTCACACAGGTCACATATGAATCAAACTAACCTACATTGTATAGTACAAATGCAGTGCTATTTTGTGACCCTGGCTTTTGTATGTTATGAGGCAAATGTTTTTTATGTCCATTATTGATGCGCCAACGTCTGTGAACTGACAGTTGGCTGTGGAAAAGTCGTGTATTGTAGAAGTCTTTTCTTAGGAAGTCAAAACACACTAACTTTAATTGTCAGCTGTGAAAGTTTCAACAAAGATTATCAGCGGTCTCTGTCTTGTTGTCAGATGGCGGAGCATGCTCTGTCCCTGGAGCTGCTGTGTTCAGATGGTGGTCGCAGTGTCTCCTATCTTCTTCATCTGGCCCAGTTGCAGCTGCTTAGAGCTGACTACTGCAGTGCTGCCGCCAGCCTGAGGGAGGCGCTGTTTCACAGTAACCAGGTACTCACACTGACCACTGGCTGTAGCACTGAGTAAGGACTGAGTGGAGAATATGACATACAGTATGGTTCACTGCTTCTGTACTGCTCTGCTAGTCTGAGCTGTCCACAGTCTGTGATTTATAACATTTAAACTGCAGAAAATATTTATGTTTAGTTTTGGATTTATGAACATCTTTCACCTCAGTTTCTCACTTGCATCTCTTCTGAACTCTGACCTGAGAAGTGTTGTCCACCTTGTGAGCAGGATGCAGATGCCTGGGCTCTGAATGGTCACTGTCACTACCTGCGGGGGGCGCTCAGTGATGCCCAAGAGAGCTACGAGTGGAGCCTGATCCTTCTGCAGCAACCATCAGACTCTCACCTTGTCCGCCTCCGCTTGGGATCCATCTACCTCCAGCAGGGGAAGGTCGGATATTGAGACAAGCTTCACTGCTGTCTGATCAGTCGGACAGTTTATCGATGTGTGCTGTATCTGCTGATTAATCAACCTGGTGCATTTCCAGGAAGAACTAGGAACTAAAATATTGTAATAAAGTATTCCAGTCTTAGGATGTTTTTTAAAATAATAAAGTCATGAGGAACAATGGGATTATGGGTCAAGTTTCTACATAGTAACCAGACAGAAATCAGTTATTACTGAATTTACACTAAAGCACATCTCAAACATCTTGTATGAAGCAACGAACCACAGTGTAACTAATCTCTTACTTTTGTGTTTTTAACTTTCAGTTTAAGGAAGCCAAGGTTACCTATCTGCAGGCCTGTGAGCAGTCTCCGTCCTGCCTGACCTGGCTAGGCCTGGGTGCCGCCTGTTACCGGGTAAAATCCACCTCCCCCTCCAGAAAAATGATAGAAACCTGAACATATATTTAAATCTGATTTAATTCTGATTTTGATCTTATTCTTATGATATGCCTTGTGACATTCAGGAGTTAAAAGCAGTTAACATTGGGGTTATTCATCACCCCAAAGCTGCTGGGCTCTGTGATTTCAGATAGCATCTTAAACACTAAATACAAAACCAAAGCTGACTGTGAAAAGGGAAGTGATTAACTTATGGATGGAAAAGAACTGTGATCTCTGAGGTCGGAGGTGAAGGTCACGTTACTGTGGAATTGTAAATAAAGTTTATAAAAATGGTTTGGACAGCTGTGGAGTTGTTTTGAAGTGAGCCTGCTTGTGGTTGTGTGTGTCTGTGTAGCTGGAGGAGCTGCGTGTAGCTGAGGAGGCTTTGACTGAGGCCAATCATTTGAACAACCAGAACGCAGAGGTGTGGGCTTACCTGTCTCTGATCTGCCTCAGGGTGAGTGATGATAACTCTTTGAAAACACACTAGACGTGTCCCAGTTTGAGCTTTGCTTCCCCTGAAGTCCATACTTCAGGACAGAATATAACACAATAGGTCAACACTTCGTCCTGGTATCCCACGGTCCTTTGCTTATTGATCGCATGACCTTGTCATATTGTTCAGTGAGATTAGATTGCATTAGAGGAGGAAAACCAAGTCTAGCTGAACACACAGGTCCAACGAAGGACACACCTTTGTGACCTATGTGCCCTCAGGAATGCAGCCTCAGAACTGGGACACATTTCAGCAGAGATTCACTTTTTCAATGTTTGCAAACTCATTTTTCAAGACAGGCTGCAGGGACCTGAACTAACCATGAAATGAACCTTTTGTTTTCAGAATGGCAGACGAGAGGAGGCAGAGCAGTTTTATAAATATGCAACACATGTAAGTTAGTTCAGTGTTTTTATCAATCATTTAAAGTAGGGCTGGGATCAGTTATAGTTATATAGTTTTCATTTCACATAAAGAAACTCTAATATAAAACACTTTTGTCTCTTCCTGGTGTCCAGTTCAAGCTGCAGAAAGAGTCACTCCTCAAAGAGTTCAGTGACCTGAAGGATCAGCTGCTTTTCAGCCATCTGGAGTCCTGCTTTGGAACAAGCTCATGAATCAGATGACCAAGTACATGTCATACAAACACACACATACAGCAGTGTCTAAAGGGGCCGTACACATGCTGCATCTTTAAACGTGAAGTCAGGCACAGGGCACTACTCTTTTGCCTTTTCTGTGCCAGCTGTCAAGAGCACGACGGCAGGTTGCGCCTGACGTTGCTAAGCAACATTAACAAGCACGGTATCATAGCCTGCTTACCTGAAATCCTGAGTGCAGAGCTGATCTTCTTCCAGGACTGTTTGTGTGTAGGCCTGTTGTCTGTGGGGCAGCCATGCACTAAAATGATCAACTTCTCCTCCATATTTACCACAGACTGAAATTAACGGAAGAAGGCAAAGATATCCGTCAACTGTAATTGGACGGCGTCACTCTGCCTGCCACGTGTCTACATTAACAACAGTAAATCTGAAGGTGCAAAAATCGTGGCATGTGTAAGGCCCTTAAATGACCACCATTTCAAATTTTTTATTGTTTATCGTATTTTATTGTATTTTAAGCATTTAACACTTTTGAAAATGAAACACAGCCAGCTTAGATCCACATGATGGGTCAGATGTTACAGACAGTGGAGTTCAGTAACTGTTCAAGTTCCATGATAAAGCTAAACCCTGTTCAATATCAACATAACAAACAAGAATTCAAAGCAACACAAAAGGTGTCAAATGTGTATAAAACAACTGCAATAGCATTAACAAAAAAGAAAAAGAAATAGGGCATGTGGTGACTGGTATTTTGAATCATTATTTCACTTTTCACGTCATTTTAAAATCTGAACAGCAAAACTAGCCTGATGAGACGTCGTTGTTCTAAAACGACTTACCAGATTTTGGCACAGTCCCTCCTGCATTGGAAGGAAATCTTCTGTGGATTAAATTTATTGGCTACGATTCCTCTCAGACAGATTTGGTAGTTCTTGTGTTGCAAGAAATGCATTTTAGATTTGAAAGTATGTCTTATTTTGCATTTGAAAATGAATGTTTCTCAAATGTAATTGTTATTGTTATACATCTCAGAAACCTTTCAAATAAGTTGCATTAAATTATTTATCCATTGTATGGATTTTTATACGCATATGTCATTGTAACATAAGTGGACAATTTCTTTCTTGTGCAATCTACACGTGTTCTGGCCTCAGTGGCTTCATGCTCTGTTGCAGTGGGATCACTGTCTGACCCGAGCAAAGAGTTCTCGCAGCCACGGTGAATCCTCATAGAGGCGAGGGTCGCCTAGATACTCTGAGGTCCTCTTGTACAAGTAGTAGTACAACACAGAGGCTGTGAACAGAAAAATTTGTGAGGAGGTTTTATCATAAAAAAAGCACCACAACATACAGAACATGCACTTGTTTCACCGCATCATGGTCCTGTAGCCAAAAAAATGACTAAGGGGTTTGAAAGATCTGTTGATAAGTACTGATGGCTCAAGGTGCTGCTGACATATCTGCCTTCAAATATATTTTCTGTCCTGAGCTCATTTTTATCATAAAAAAATTCCACCCATCCCACAAATTCTTTGAACTAATGGAGGGCAGTGCTTTCAGTAAACAGGCAGCTGCACAACACATCTGAAACACTCAATGATAAACCAGTTTGTAGTTTGGGGTTTGTACTTTCTGTTGAATCTCTAATAAGATGGTTTAATTGTTCTGTATTGTTGTTTATTATTCTGAGTGTCTGACAACATTATAGGACTCTACTCTAGAGACATGAAACATTTTTCCTCATCTTTCACTGATCTGGTCTGTTTGTTATTGTGTGTAAGTCTCTTTCTGAAATCTTTCCCACACTAGAAACATCAGCTAAATACTCAGCCATGACATAAAAATCTCTAAAATAACCCTAAACTGCACTTTCTGTTCTTGAGCACAACAACAAACTCTTTACACTTCTCTCTCTGACTCTCACTAATGTTTCCATAATGTTTGTGTCTGGTTTTGAGGCTCATGTAACCACTGTTCATACTGTGGAGAGTTTTATTCTCAGTTTGGATGATTAATCAGCCGCTTCAGGTGGGTGGCTCCTGTGTTATGACTTTACACAATAATTACAAGTACTTGAGAAATAATTTGTGATTGTACAGCGACAAAGAAATTGGAAATCCCCGCCAGCATTAACAACTCAGCCCAGCAGAGTTTACAGTGTCTTAAGGAAGGTTCAGAATGAAAGAGAATTTGTGAACAGGTGATGCAACACTGAATCACACACTGAGTAAGCGTCTGGGTGGGTCTTAAGTAGCAGACAAAACAGAGAGACAAATATGGCTCCAGTCCGTTCTCATACTTAATATGGGATCACCTGCAGAGAAGAACAATAACAAGACAATAAATCCTTTTATCCACTTATGAGCTTATATGTGTATGAAAATCACACCCACATGGCGCTGTGAGATCACTGCCTGGAGCCAGAGAAGAGCAAAGACTAACACACTCAGACAAAAAAAAACAATGAGAACTATGAGCTTTCTGTCGCTTCAGAGAATAAAAACTTAAACTGAAATGTCATTTTGTTCTGTTTGAACCATCAATCAAATTAGAGATGTGCACAGTGGTTCAGAGGTCTGAAACCAGGTGACATAAAAAAAGCTCTGATGTATTCCGATAATTTATTTCTCACTTGCACTCTTCATTCCCAAATATAAAAGATAATTTGTAGACATAGTACTGCCTTGATTGCTTCTCTTGTTTCATTCAAACTTTAAATGAAACAGGAGAAGCAATCAAGGCTTGTAGATTTTAAATTTTAAGTTTAAAGGAATGCTTAACTCACAAATGACCATTCATAAATCAGTTAGCGAGGCCGTGTTACCTTGAATTCCTCTTCAGAAAATGGCGAACATACTGATTTATTTATTGACTGGGGACCGTGTTTAACAACAGCAAAACTACATCAAAATATTCATTTACAAACTTGTGCAGAATATCCGAATCTCATTCATCCATTCATATGCTCATAAAGTTTTCTGTACCAACTCAAGGTATTATGGCATGGCCAACTCCCTTTTCTGACAGAAGACAGATTTTGATAAACACAACAGATGCTCTAGGCATTAAAATAAATAGATTCGTATGGCATGATAAAGAAGGTAATAATATGTCGTCTTACCAGCTCTTTGGAAGACAAACAGCACCTGAAGGCCGTCTGTCCAAATAAATCTGTTGGTATTTAGCCAACGCAGATTCTGCAAAGATTACAGAGAAATAATTAATAATCATTTTGATGTCACAGCTTTAAGATAAGACCTTATTAGACTCATAAGATATAACAAGACTTTATCAATCCCACACAGAGGAAATTAACACGTTATTCACGTTACAGCAGCTTAATGTTCCCCTTCAAAAAAGTTACATCCAAATTAAAAGGTCACAGGGGGGTGATTTTTTTGCATGGGGTGTCATTCTGGGTGAAATTTCAAAATCCCAACTTTCAGCATGAAAATCCATTATTTGACCCTGTAATGTATTTTATCCCATCCATGATCCTTCAAGTGGACAAAAATGTCCACCTGTCATTTAGCCATTTGTTATTGTTGCTGGGATAAAAATGCATTACAGGGTCAAATAACGGATTTTCATGCTGAAAGTTTGGATTTTGAAATTTTACCCAGAATGACACCCCCATGCAAAAAATCACCCCCCTGTGACCTTTTGTTGGACACTTTCTAGAAAATGGACATTTTTGTCCACTTGAAGGGTCATGGATAGGATAAAATGCATTACAGGGTCAAATAATGGATTTTCATGCTGAAAGTTGAGATTTTGAAATTTCACCCAGAATGACACCCCATGCAAAAAATCACCCCACTGTGACCTTTTAATTTGTCTGTGAGCGAGTTTTGAATTTTGGAAATGGACAAAAATGTCCAGGGGTAACACAAGGGTTAAGAGTTAGAAGAAAGACAAAAAGTCATTAATTTACATTAAGTTAAGTTAAGTTAAGTTAAGTTAAGTTAAGTTACACTATATACCCCTTTCACATATAAAGGACTGTACACCCAGATTCATAGTTGCACAGGATGATCATAATAATCAGAAAAGTATAGAAGTACATAAACATTATTGCACAGTAAGTGGTGAAATATTGCATAGTAGGAAATTGTAAAGGAATGTTAAACTTTATGACGTAGAATACCGTGATAGATATAAGAACAATTACACAGTACAAGTATGTGTAATGTGTTTATAATATAAATGATAAAATATGCATATATTACATATTTCATAAGAAATATACAATGTACAAAAGACTGTATGTTCAAATTTAACTCACTCAAATTAGACTAATATTTCTGTATGTGTGTGTGAGTATGTATATATATATATATATATGTATATTTACAGAGTTTGACAAAGCAAAACATACCTGTCATGACTCGATAAGGATAGAAAGATGAGATTATTTTGTTAAATAGGGTATATATATATATATATATATATATATATATACAGTACAGGCCAAAAGTTTGGACACACCTTCTCATTCAATGCGTTTTCTTTATTTTCATGACTATTTACATTGTAGATTCTCACTGAAGGCATCAAAACTATGAATGAACACGTGGAGTAGCTCATCGAGAGAATGCCAAGAGTGTGCAAAGCAGTAATCAGAGCAAAGGGTGGCTATTTTGAAGAAACTAGAATATAAAACATGTTTTCAGTTATTTCACCTTTTTTTGTTAAGTACATAACTCCACATGTGTTCATTCATAGTTTTGATGCCTTCAGTGAGAATCTACAATGTAAATAGTCATGAAAATAAAGAAAACGCATTGAATGAGAAGGTGTGTCCAAACTTTTGGCCTGTACTGTATATTTATATGAATTTTTAATCTGTAATTATTTTTGTAATTATTTATATCTTGCTGTAAGACAAATTAATTGTAAAATAAATAAATAATTTGATATATTAGAATAGTTACATGTTTGAAATAAACTGCTAAAATGACTACTACTGCCCCCTCATCTATCTTTAAACAATATAATTTTAGCATTTTCATAAATGTAGCAGAAACAAATTGACAATTGAAATGATAAAAAAAATATCCTTAGGACTTAGATTCTTATTTATCTCTGACCATGTGCGCACGTAGAGAACGTACCATGAGCCAGGAATGGAGTATGATACTGAAGGTCAGATAGAGAGCAGAGAGCATTAGCAGAGCTCTAAATCGCTCCAGCAATATGGCCACCAGGCCGATCTGGAACACGTAGGTGTTAAATAGCATCAACAGAATGATGATCAGGTTGAACAGGATGGCAATGTCCTGGATTCTTTTGAAGAAAAGCACACAGGGAAGGAAAAGACAAGAGAGAGGGAAATGTGTGACCAGCAGAAACAAAAGGGACAGAAACAGAAAGATTTACCAGCTTACTGTCTTTACACAGAGCCCTTTCATTTCATTCCAGCATCCCAATGACTCAGTGTAAACAACTGAAGTGTACTATTTTTAGCTTTTCCCCCTCAAGTCAGAGATAATGTCTTGGCTGCTGTAACCGTGAGGAAACTCTAACTTACATGAAAAGTACCAGCTGTACAGCCGGTTCAGTCCTCAGCAGCTCGCTGAAGGAGTTTACGAACAGGTCGAAGGAGAGCAGGCTGAGCTGAATCAGTAACACCAGAGAGTAATTGCTGGTTTGGAGCGTCTCCGGCCCGAAGGCTGGGCGCCCGGGCGGACCGTGGTGGTTCCACGATGGATCCAAGGCTGCACTGCGCTCGCACACACACTACATAGAAACATTAATCCACACACAGCAACAGTCCTGACTGTTTGGGGGTCTCAGTGAGGCATACAAGTGACTCCACTCTGACGCCTGCTTGATGCATTAGGGCTCCATTTTCTTTTGTCAAAATTAGACTGTTCACTTGAGAAAAACTGAAGTCCCTTCAAAATAGGAAACAGCGTCAGGCTTTGGGATGAGCTGCATGGAAATCACTGATGTCAACATGTTGATTTTTATAGCTCCATGAACAGATGTGGTAGCACAGTTCAGTCCACAATCCATCCAAGTAACTCCAGCAGAGACTGTGTGGAAAGAGACAGAGGAAACACATTAGTATTCTGCTGGAACACAGCATGCTGAAAAAGTGTATTTACTGCACAGCACAGCCCTCAGTCTGCTGCAGATTTACGAGCACTGAAACCAGAGACTTGATTTGAAAGAGAGACAAAAATCAGATAATGTGAGCTCCCTTCCAAATGTAACCAGAGACGTTCACATAGAATGAACTGATTTAACTGACTGATGCTGATACTTCTCTGAGGTGGTGCATTCACGCTCTCTCTGGTACAATAAGCTTAATGTCTAGTCGTGTGATGCAACATTATTTTCAAATATTGTTGTGTGTGCATGTTTGAGATCAGAGAGAACAAGTGAGAGGTTATTCCGTATGTGCGTGACGCAACCCGATTTCAGAATCAGTTTTAGAGCTCCTGTAGTCTGAGCCTAGGACTTGAAAGGGTTGGTTCTCATACACACTCATTCATTCATTTTCCATAACTGCTTATCCTGTTGGGGGTCACGGGGAGCTGGAGCCTATTCCAGCTGACATTGGGCAAGAGGCAGGATACACCCTGGACAGGTCGCCAGACTATCACAGGGCTGACACATAGAGACAGACAACCATTCACACTCACATTCACACCTACAGACAATGGGAGGAAGCTGGAGCACTTGGAGAAAACCCACACTGACACTAGGAGAACATGTAAACTCCGCACACAGAAGGCCTCCCCCACCCAGGGTTCAAACCCTCTACCTTGGATTTGAGCCAGGAACCCTTTTGTGAGTTGACATCATCTGCATCACTGTGCCTTTTTGACCTTGTGAACACAGGCTGCTAAAAAGCATCAATAGAGGTCATCTTCAAAAGCATTAAGAGGAACAGGATGACCAAATAAACCATCACCTGGCGGGTCACACACCTGGTCCATTTGTTTTGGAGAGGAGGAAGCGTTTAATTTGGCTCGTGGTAAAAACCTTGTGAATCACTGGGGCCAGTTGCACAAAACCCCTTGAGTTAAGATTTTCCTTAAAGTCCTAGCTAAGGTTTCCTCCAATTAAAATTGGTTGCACAAAACACCCTTAAGTCTTCTCCTTAAGGTTTCTTTAAAATGTTCACTTAAGTTTTTATGTTTTTCTCTTTTCGTCTTTGGTCTTTGGTCTTATACTCAAGGAATCCCTTGATTGTTGCACAAAAGACGTTTGCAACCAAAGCAAAGTAAAAAAAATGAAGGTCCGTCTGACTCTGACTCTTAACTGCAACATGATGGAGTTTGTGGTGATAAAAGAAAAAACTAACAAACCCTGAGAGGAGTGTTCTGAGACCAGGAGAACCCAGTGGATATGCTTTTTATTTTACACCATAAGTTTGACTGAATTCATTTTTCATTCATTTCTTACAGTCAGTTTCTGTTTTCTGGTATTTTGGAATCAAATGTACTTTGCAGTTTGTGCTTTATGTGATTGTATTCCTGCAGGAGTATAATCTTTTCCTCCTCTGACCAGTATGGTTTTCTTGTCTTCTTTTCTTCTGCCATTTTTTTTCACCATGTAACTATACACCAACTTTGTGAGAGATAACAGGCGTCACAAGAATGAGTCCAAGCAAACAAACAATCTCCATGGAAACTTTTACCGCTGTAAAATCTCTTTCAGCCCAGTTAATGAATTAACATTTTTCCTTAACTAAGGGAATCTTTTAAGGGATTCTGTGCAACTTTGCAAGTCCTTTAGCTTAGGAATAATTAAGCCTTAAGTGTCATACTTGAGGTGTTTTGTGCAACCGGTCCCTGAATCTTTGAAAGGGAGGGACATCCCTGCTTCTAGCAGCAACTCATACAGCAGTGACTGAAGTATGAGTAACCTGGGCTGCTCTGAGGCCATGAGTTTAACATTTACTGGCATGTTGATGACTGGATACATTCCATTAAGGAGAGGTCGTACCTGCCAAATGATTAGGACTGACCTGCTTGGTCATTTTAGTTTAAATTTTTTTATTGAGTAGAAATAAAAAGATATATCCTCTTATCTCTAGTGGTATCGATCCATGCAGATAGTTTTTTTGCTCACATTTTGAGATATCCATCTCAGATTTGAGTCTCTCCTTCACTTTCTTAGTTTTTGTTGGAACAACCTCCTACTAAAAGAAATAGTCCCTCTGGAGATGGTGTTTTCTGTGAGTAAGCCAGACTGGGGCACTGATTCTGGAGAGAGAAGTGTTGTTGAAATGTTATTTTGTCAACAAGCCTACATCTCTGCGTGAACCCAGGGGTCATGTCCCTCTCACTATTTAGAATATGAAAGTAGCAGATGACTTATTTTGATTAAATTTAAGACATTTCCACCTTAATTTGATCAGAAAATGCACAATGTTTTGACTGAAGATGCACAATAATATCAGCACGTCATCAGTATCAGCTGATACTGGCTTTAAAATCAACTACCGGAATCAGCCAAAAATGCTTTTTTAAAGTTGCACAATGAATGAATATTACATACATTAAAACACATTGTATTTCATGTCTCCATCTGCTGATGGGCCATCATGATAAGAGTATGCATCCATAATGTGATGTTAATTCCAGTACAGAAGAAACTTGGAAAGTGGATATATCGGTATTGGTTATCAGCCAAATAAGTTGTTATATGTCAGCGTATCGGATATTGGCATAAAATCCAATATCATGCCCTACTTACAACTTATTTAAATATCATTGGTAGATATCTCCCAGGACAATGAAGGCTGCTTGTATTTATTGCTTTGTTGTTGATAAATGTGTCCATTATATCATGAAGGAGGGGTCATGTAAATGATAAGACACAAAAATACAAATATTAATCAGTTCAATTATTCCTCATTTTAATTCACAAAGAGTTGTATGATCTAGGAATATTATCATATGTTAGATTAATTTGCAAATGTTTCTTGTTCACAAGTTAGTATTAATCTTGTTATTACATTAATCAGTAGGGGAAAAGCATTCACAAACTTTACTGAGTAAATGTTGATAGTGGTATCGGTTATTGTTTAAATGCGTTGTTACAAGTCGGCACATTGGATATCGGCAAAAAATCCAATATCGTGCATCCCTAGTTTTGACGCTGAAAATTTCCTGGAGGAGGACCCCAAAACCTCGCCATTTCATAAGGGTCCACCCCCCCATTTTGAAAAGGAAACCTACGCCCTTGATTTTGTCAGAACTGAGAGCACCAAAAATGAAACTCACTGTATTGGCCTGTATATGTCTCAACACCTGGACGAATAAAACCAAAACTATCTGCATGGAAAATATCTTTTAATAATTTCGGTGAACCAAACCTTTCAGCACAACAAAATTTAACCAGAAATCAATGATACTTGGGGTAGTTTTTTTGCAAATATCTTGACATAGCTACTCACATTTTAACCTTTAAAACAAGCCCCAACACTTATTTAATTGAAATGCAGCTAACTCTACATCAAGACATTTAAAACATTAAACATCACTTTAGAAAAGCAGCTTCTCTCTCAAAGGAGCATTAAAACTATTTCTTCACTAGTTTGTTGTGGATTACAGAAACACATCCCCTCCTTTCACTACTGTTGCCACCACTAGTGAAGCAGGTACTGTAACTCTGTGCCTTGGCTCCTCTGGCATCCTGTGAGCCAGGATCACTCTCCAACATGGCTCCTTCACACTGACACCATGCAGGTGGATCCTCTTACAAACCCCGTGCTTATACCGTGACACGGCTGTGGCAGGTGTGAGGAAGATTAGGGCTACTTCTAGACAGTGGAGCATCAACCTGAGGACTACTTATTCGTGAAAGCCGTCCCACTGAAATTGTGGGTTAGCAGAACGACTACAGTAGCTCTTTGGCGAAACATCTTTGTACGTGAACAAAGAAAAGATTACACCAGGCAGAAGTGTTGCAGGAGAAACAAGGCCTTCCAAAGACATAAATGTCTCTTCTCTTTTCTTATAAAATATAATCAACAATTTATCAGTTTGTTAGATATTTCCTTCTCCTTCGACAAGAATAGTGGCACAATTTAAAAAGCCTTTGTTGTTGTTCATGTGCTTCCATCTTGTAGTTCTTAGTACTGTTTAATCTTCTTAGGAAACTCCATAACAGCTTGTTGCTTTACACAGAAGCAACACATCCTCCCTTTTACTATTTCAGAATATAAACTACCACCATAAAACCAAAAAACAAAAGTGTGTGTACCTGTAAATGAAGGTTGATGTCAGAGGCTGGAGTCGTATCTTTCCAAATGATGCATGTGGTCACAAACAACTCAAGTGTGCAGCACAGAGTGACAGCTTGTCTTTCCTAGTCACAGGGTTTATCCCCCACCACACACACACACACGCACACACACACACACACACACACACCTCTCTAATAGACAGGCACGGGATTTCCGCCATGACATTGTGGTTAGATTGTTTACATGCACCTTAATGACAGCATACTGCAGCTTTTGACTAATGTAGGATTTAAGAGATAGCGTTGAAAGATTGAGAAGATGTCATCAATACTCAATAGATTAAAAAGTTTCTGGGACCTTTTTTGGACCTTAATAAAGATCAATAGG